AAACACTTCTTTTTTTCAAGAATTTATCCCCAAAGAGTTCCTGAGTATTTGAGAGTCAAGAAGAGCTGGGATATTTATATATCAAATCTTTCAATTTGTTGGTGTGAGGACAGCAAAGCTCTCAGCAGGTGTAGTGGGAAAAGAAGGCCCCAGGCACAGAGATGTAAAAAAGGAGTGTTAATACAGGAAAGGGAAGGCAAAACACAATAAAGGTTCTCTGAATGTAGCTTCTAGAGGAGGAGACTGGAAGTAAACATTGTTAAATGATTCTGGGAAATGGGACAAGACTCAATGTTCAGAATTGCCTGATAGTAGGGCTGAGGTCGCTGGACTGCACCAAGACCTGAGATTTTTTGGCTGATACTCACGCAGGTGAGAATTGCTAGCACTTATGGACTGTGTGTGACATTAGCAAGACTTCCAGAAGCACTAGCAGAAAAAAGCCTGCAAGTACTGAGCTGCAGAGACTGGTTGGCCAGAGGTCACCGAATATTCTGAAGGATACGGGTGCAGCAATGATAACCTCTGCTCCAAGTGGAGATAAATGACAGGGACACCGGCACAAAAACAATTCAACTGCTTATGCACAGGAAGGAATCAAAGAATCAACCTGGGTTGGCAAGTCAGAAAGAATTAAAAGAAGGGGTTAAAATATATATATATACATACATACATACAAATATATATTTGTGTGTGAGTGTATATGTTTGTATGTTGTTATTTTATTTATGACTTAAGCCTAGAGTTCTTGACCTGAACATATCTTTGATAGAGTTTTACTTTTGAGTCAGTGAACTAAGATGAAAAAAAATTGATGTAAGTTTTATCAAGTATGCTTCTGAAAACTTAGAATAACTTCCAAATGAAGGTGGTCTTATTAGCGTGGGAAGTGTAGCAATAGTACCTACTCTATATTCTGTCATAAGTTTGTATCATCTCAAAACTAAAGCTGAAAACAAAATCTCTTAAACTTCTATTTAGTTACGGTGATTTTATTTACATGGGGCAAAAAAATGAGCAAAATTAGGTAGTTTTTGCTAGTTCAGCTTTGTCCAACATTAAAACTAAAAATATGAATTTGACCCCAAAGGCAATGGAAGTAAAAGCAAAAATAAATGAATGGGACTATATCAAACTAAAAAGCTTCTGCAGAGCAAAAGAAACCATCAACAAAACGAAAATGCAACCAATTGAATGGGAAAAGATATTTGCAAACAATAGCTTTGACAATCAATTAATATCCAAAATATATAAAGAACTCATACATCTCAACAAAAAATAAGCAAACAGTTTATTTTTTTAAAACAACTAAAAAATGGGCAAAGGGCCTGAACAGACACTTCCCCTAAGAAGACTTAAAAAATGGACTACAGACATATGAAAAGATTCTCAATTTCACTAGCTCTTAGGGAAAAGTAAATGAAAACTCAAATGAAATGCCACCTCACACCGGTTAGAGAGTCAACAAGACGCGCAATCGCAAGTGTGGGAGAGGTTGTGGAGAAAAAGGAGCCTCATTCACTGCTGGTGGGAATGTAAATGGTGCAGCCGCTATGGGAAACAGTATGGAGGTTCCTCAAAAAAATTAAGAGTAGCGTTACCATATGACCTGGCAACCCCTCTTCTGGGCATCTACCCGAAACATTTGAGAGCAATTGTTCACAAAGATATATGCCCCCCTATGTTCATTGCAGCATTATTGACAGTGGCCAAGACATGGAAACAACCGAAGTGTCCTTTGATAGGTGACTGGGTAAAGAAGATGTGGTTCATATATAAATGGACTACTACTCAGCCATAAGAAAAGATGAAACACTGCCATTTGCCACAACATGGATGGACCTTGAGAGTATCACGCTAAGTGAAATGCCAGATAGAAAAAGTCCAAAGCCATATGATTTCACCCATATGTGGGATATAAAACTGAAAGTAACAAATGAAAAAACAAAATAAACACAAACTAAAACTCATGGACACAGACAATAGTCTGGTGGTTCCCAAAGGGAAAGGGTGTGAGAAGGTAGCAAAGGGGGTCAAATACACGGTGATGGAAGGAGTTCTGACTTTGGGTGATAAACACACTGCGATATACAGATGATGTGTCATAGAATTGTATTCTTGAAATCTACATAATTTTATTAACCAATGTCATCCTCATAAATTTAATTAAAACATAAAAATAAAAATGAATAGGTTTCACGTAGACAAAGGATCATTTATAAATTAGTTCTCTCAACTCGGATTTGCATAAAATGTGAATGAAGAATTTTCATGTTTATAACCTCAGGCAAGAATTTAAATTTTAGCAATTTCTGTGGCTCAGTAAAAGCAGCTCTATGCACACAATGAAAATTAAACAGATGGAAAAATTAACGTCATGGAAACTGAAAAATAAAATCACATTCCTTGTTTTTTGTTGTTCCCTTTGTTTTTGTTGTTGTTGTTGAATAGCCCATCTCTTACAGTGAGTTTCATCTATGGTACTATTATAATGCTTGAAAATAAATATTCTAAACAACAAGAAACTTATATGGGAGTCTGCTTCATTTGGGGGTGAATAGCAGTTTATATTTCCAGATAATCATAGATCGAGTCCTCTACTCTTAAGATTCTTAGTCACCCATCTGTCCCACATTTAAATTTCCCACTACTAAGGTTATTCATCTGAAGACGAAAACTTGTAAATTGAACTACCAGTATACTATCTGAATGAGAAAAGACAGTAAAAATATAATACTTAAATATTAGTACAAATAAGGGTAATAGAGCAGCTGCCATTCAAAGGAGTTGAAGGGAACTGAACAATGGAGGGTTAAATGTTTAAAGAAGATGTAAGGCTCACCTGAATGAGGCACTGAAGGGTGGGCCTAGACCAACCGAGGCAGCTGTGTGAGTGTGTGTGTGTGTGTGTGTGTGTGTGTGTGTGTGTACATGGAACAGTAATGGGAAGTCACTCTGGCTCTACCCTTTTGATCTTTGCCTTCCATAACAGGGTTAACGAGGCAAGGATCAGAAGCACACAGGGAGAGACGGAGATGCCAACCACTCTGTGCTAAAGAAAAGAAATCAAAATCACAAGACAGACGGAGAGGGATAGGCCTGACTTGAAATATACATGTGTGTTCTGGAGAGAGACACCTTGGGTTTCAAACATAGTGACCATGGTCAAGTCTTTAGCTCTGCCTTAGTTTTCTCATTGGAAATATGAGTATATTTATGTATCTTTATTATTAAGCAATATTCAGAAACAAATGTGCTGATAACTGCCAAGTGCTCGAATCTGTGTTTAGCACAGTTAAATTATAAATGTTTGTCATTATTAAAAGAGGAAAATTCTTGTGGAACTTTATTATATGAAGTAAATTTACCTTTGGTTTGCCCAGCTTTTTTCCTATTTTCCAAATATTTTTAAAAGATGACATGACCCCTGTTGAAACATTAAAAAAACAACAACTCACAAAAACCCCTTTATCTTTTTTTCTGATAGTCAAAGAATCTGTGTTACATGAGTGTAGTGAGAATTTCCTGTATTGTGGTTTCCGAAACATCAAGAATATTGCTTAACTACACAATTTTTCTTTTCCTTTTGAATTTCTTCATACACAACTTTCAGATTCTTAGCCTCCAGCTCAATTCCGTGATCCAACACCATTCTTTTTAAACAAACATCGTGACTTATCTGTTTCTACACCGGAACATTTCTCATGGCAGGTATGTTGACCTGAGTCATAAATTTAAAAATAAATACAAGCAGAAAACGTATTCGTGGATATTGCTAATTTCAGGGAATGCTTTAAGAAAAAAATATGGAAAATTTTAGGCTTCTTGTGTTTCAGCATTTTCCACTTAATTTTATTTTTCTGATTCTTCATTCTGTAACTTAAGGATGATTTTGTGAAGCTCCTTTTACAGGTTTAAACAGCGACTAATGACAGAGAAAACTCTAAATTCTGAGCGAGAACTGAATTTACCAGGTTAAATTATGAGCAACTTAATTCTAGCTTAGAATAAATAGAGAATGACAAATATTTAAAGTGCAATGCTTACAAGTGCTATTTAAAAGTTTTGCATTTGTGTTGTGACACCCAAACACCACCCAGATTAACAGTCTGACACATTGGACTGTTGTTAACAACAACACTCTTTGGGGGGGTGTTAATGTTAATGAAAAATCTCCTAATGTTGAATTGTTTGGGGGCAATGACTATAAAAAATAATTACAAGTATACGGAAAATGTAATATTCTTGTAAAAAATGGTTGCTTATGTATCATAATTCAATGTTCTGTGAAATGAATCCAGCTCCCCAAGTATTGCCCATGTGTTGGCTGGGGAACTTCTCCTCACACAACATCCAGATGCACCTGTCTTTTCTACCCTGTAAAACCTCTACAAATCTATGAGCACCTGGCCTTTTTCAGGACAGTCTCAAAAGGACACGTTCCCAAGCAGTGTTATTGTGACAATGATAGAATATGTTAAATAAAGACTCTGGTCCTAGACAAACTTTCATTTGATTTCTGACTTGGGTAGTTACTAGGTTTGATGCCTTGAGAAAATAACGTTAATAATAAATTCTAAATTTTCTCATCTACCTAACGGGAATCATATTACTATCTTGTGATTTTTATTGAGAAAAATAAAGTGACCATCTTATGTAAGCCCATAAAACAGAGCTTGGTGCCTGTTCATCTCTTCTTACTCCAGATCTCTGGGCTTCTTTGCCAAATTAAAAATAAATGTTAAATCCATTTTCTGAGACAGAGCTGGTAAAGAAGAAAAGATACAGATAATCTTACTAAAGAATTAAGTACACCACATAAAACTTTTAGTATTGTATGGAATTCTGAATGTCTTCATTTCCTACTGTTTCATTGGCAAGACAGTTGGGTTGTCAGGGAGAAGAAATTTTTGGATTCTCTCTCCCAGGTTTCTGCCTTCAACAGATTCAGATCCTGTGTTTGTTAGTTAACTCATCCCTCTACATCTCTTTCTCTACAGCTTTTCAGGCCACTCCATGGAGGTTGATTTCTGGGATCTTCGGAGTAACCTGCCTTGTGTTGATGGCTACTTTGGGAATTTTGTTGAAAAATAGTAAGTTTTTCTAGGCAAGTTTAAATAAAGATCAAGAGTGTGATGAAACCATTCAGTATGAAAGGTTTCATTTTACTGATGTGTAATGTGTTATTTCACAAACCTGTATCTCACTGAGTACATTTCTAATTATTTCCTACAGGATTTACTAAACAAAGTATTCAGTCAACATCATCTCCAGGACCCACCATTGAACCCCAGGAAGGTAGGTTCCATGCTTTGAAAAACCTTGGTAGAGCATGAAATTGTTTCTTGTTTTTCTCACACGGAAGCATGATGGAATATTATATAGAGTAATACAAGTTTACCTACTAATTGTAGAATAGTCTCACGTCATTGTTCTCTAATACAAGAATTTTTAAGTTACGTTGAATATGCATCATTTATATATTTATTGAATAAGAAAAGCATGAGCCTGAAGTGACATGTTTTTCCTGTATGAGTGCTCATGTTTAAGTAACAAACAAAGAATAAATTATACTACATGTTACAGCTAATCCTAATTAGCTGCTGGTGTTTGCTCATAACATATAATTTTATATCTCTTTACCTTTGCTTCTATTTCTTGCATGACTCAGAATATAGTGCAGTGATTTCTACAAATCTGACCCTAGTTTTCTGTTGTGAGCGAGCTCTGAGTCCAATTTTTAAAATACATTTTTCCAGATTCTGTCCAAATGGTCTCATCATCTTCTGTGATCATATAGCACTTTATCTATGTTTTTCTTCTTGAGATATTTTCCAGCTTTATTGAGATATAATTTATGTACAACACTGTGTAAGTTTAAGGTGAACAATGTATTGATTTTATACACTTATATATTACAATATGATGACCACAGTAGCACTAGCTAATACTTCCATCATGTCACATAATTACATTTCTTTTTTGTCCTGAGAACATTTAATACCTACCCTTTAGCAATTTACAAGTCTATAATACAGTATTGTTAACTATAATCACGATGTTATGCAGTAGACCCTCAGAACACTAATCTTCTAACTGGAAGTTTGTACCCAACTTCTCTCCAGTTCCCCCCCCTCCCACCCCCTGTAAGGACCATTCTACTCTGTAACTTGAGCATCACTCACCTGGCAAAGGTTTGAGTACATACCATGTATTATCACTCCTATCTCTGAGGATAAAATATTCAAGGCACTATTACTGGTTAACTGTACAATGGGTGTTCAAATTAATTGCTTTTTTTAATCTTCATTTTGATATAAAATATCTAATATATATCATCATTCTCCCAATGTACCATATTTATTTCTGACTCAGGAAATATGCTAAAATGTCTTCCTCCCTTAAATATCTCTTCCATCTAACTTACTCCTATTTTTCACAGGAGACCTCAACTTTGGGTCACTTTCTACACTCTGCTACAGGATGTTTTAACATACTGAATTTCTTATGTATACTTACCCAAACTAGCATTAAATATAATTAATAAATGATTGAAAATTATATAATTCTGATGCTACCTCTAGAATGTAATGTCCATGATGCATTCACATCACTATCTTCTGAAGTTTGGTTTAAGAAGTAGACTCTCAGGGAATATTTGTAAAAAGAAATAACAAATGATTTTTGAATGAGTAAAAAGTGCTTAAAAGAATTGAATCACCAATGTCATCAGTCATGTGTATTTTTTTCTCTTAGGTCCTGGCTGCTGTTCTTGCCAAGAAAAGTGGATCGGTTACAAATGCAACTGTTACTTCCTTTCCGATGAAAGAAAAACTTGGGCAGAAAGTAGGGATTTCTGTGCTTCTCAGAATTCCAGTCTACTTCAGTTACAAAACAGAGATGAACTGGCATGTATTTAATTTTGGTTTCTTATATTTTCTTTGGCCTAGGATAACATATTATCTAAGTAAGCTGACTACTTTGATTCAAGGTTTTATCAGATAGTGAATGAATGGTTATAGTTGAACTAATAATGAGTGACTTATTTTTATACCTTAAAACAAATCATTTTATAACCAACACAAAATTTCTCAAAAACTTATAGGAATAAAAATAAAGGTAGATGCCAGATAAAGTACAAGAGGCATTTTAGAAAGAAGTCAAAGAAGAAATAATAGGTCATTATTTTATTTAAAGAACCAACTAAGCAAGTTTGTAATTTTTCATTTTTTAATTGAATATGTAATTTTTTGTAATTATATAGCTTTTGTCATTATTCTGGAATATAAAGTGGAATGAATATGAGAGGATGATTATAATAATTACAAACTCTTAAGAAAAATGAAAGATTTCTCCAGTTGCATGAGGAATTTGTGGGAAGTACAGGTCAAAATGGTTATATCTGAGAAATTAGTCCTCAAGATACTTTCGGTTTGGAATCAAATTTGATTGTTGATCTCCTGTGAAGGAAGTGTTCCATGAAAATCTAACCCCTCTCTAATGTTTTTCATTCATTCAAGAAGTGAGATTTGCGATATATTTTCTCCATAGGTGAAGGGACATTATAGGTGAGAATGGGTCTTATTTATGAGATGTGACTATGCCTCCTAAACTAGACTTTAAAAATGGTTCAGTTTGAGTGACTGAGGGCCTGCACATGATTCTGGACACTAACTTTCTTGAAAGTACTTTATTTGCAGAGTAGATTCAAATTAGATTAATATGTTTGTCTCTGTGTCCAAGCAGGATTTTATAAATACCAGTAGATTTTACTGGATTGGACTCACTTACAGTGAAAACCGCCATGCCTGGCTGTGGGAAGATGGCTCTGCTTTCTCCCGAGATCTGTAAGTTCCTGACAGTCAAGCCTTTCCTGTTCTTATGAGTTTATCTTTAGATCTCAGAGAACAGAAAAGAGAATAGGTACATGACAGCAGCAATTTTACCCTTGAAGTTACTGTACTTGTGACCATAACAAGTTCTGACTTTTCCTTGTTGCCTTGGTGCCAGCACTTGTATGAGTAGATCATCAGTAACAACGTAAGAGATAAAAAGCTGCCCTCACACACAGCTGTCCCAGAGAATCAGGAGAGCCATTCTTTCCTTTATTTTGGTGGGATCCAATATTCTCAGCATCCTCCCCTGTTTCATATATTCTGAGCTTCTTTTCTGCGTATCTGTAATCTTAGAATTTCACTTCCATCCATACACATAGTATTTGCAGCATCCTAGTGACACAGTTAATGCTCTGATTTGTTTTCCTAGATTAATTAGCAAATACACCTTTAAACAAAGTAGAGGCAAAGTTGATCACATATCAGAACCATTAACAACAATGGCAAGAACAACAACAAATTCCTGGACTCAATGCTATTGATTATTGAGGCCATAACTGCGCCTACTGAATTAAAGGATACAATGCCGAACAACAACAGAACACCATCCTTGGACGTTTTCTTTTCTTGTATGTTAACATTTTATTTTTCTCTACAGATTTGTATTCCCTCAAAGGACAAATACAAAGAACTGCATAGCATATAACCCAAGCAAGAATGTTGTAGATGAGCCCTGTGAAGAAAAACATCGTTATATCTGTAAACAGCGGCTTATCTAGGTGTTGCTGAGGGCAGAAGGGAAGGAAGGGCAAGGAAGATCCAGTATTACTAAGGTAGGTTTACCTCTTACATTATTACTAATTATCTACTTCTGGGATCTTTAAAATGTTTCATATTATATCTTAGCATATAATTTTCTTGTATTTGAAAACATGTGTTTTAAAATTGATGAAATTTGTGCGTGTACACCTGAAATTATAAAGCATCAAGATAAGATAAATAATTTCATGAGTATTTTGATTTAATGATCAATATTGAGTGTAATATATTTTCATGTATACATTCTGGTAAATTTTCTGTGCAGAAATTTAAACAAAGCAATTTACATCAAATGATATATATCAACATCATTTCAGACTTGGTGTAGAATGCTAAATTGGGGATTCCCATCTTCACCTCAATTTTCTGGACGTTAGTTCTTTCTGATTACCTATATTTCTATATGCTTTAATGTAGAGCTGAAAGTGCCATATGACATTTTCCTCATGTGTATCCTCTGGCTGCAGATAGGAACACATTTGTGTCTTCTCTTGACCCCTTCCACCCCAGTCCCACCCCTCCCCAGGCCTTCCCCGCACTATTGTCTGTCCATGGGCTATGCATATATGCATATAGGTTCTTTGATTAATCTCTCCCCACCTTAATAAAGCAAGTATTGCAGAAAATGAGACAATCTTTTTGCCAGTACAGGGTCTTGCCTTCCATTTCTAAAAATGCAACATAGCAAAGTGCAGTAAAGCAAATCTCAAAAAAGGAGGTATGTCTGTATCCACAAATCCCACTAAATTTAAAGGGGAGAGAATTATGAAGGTGTACACTAGGGCACAAAAATTTGGGGGGGTTAGCTTAGACCTCTGCCTACTATATCAACAAACCCCTACAAATATTTAACTGCTACTTTATAGTTCATTGAATTTAAAACTGCCTTTGATTTCTAATAAGTAGAAATATAACTCATGTGTGCCAAGATAAGAAATCATATTTTAGTTACCCCAATATATTTTTTCTTCATTTAAAAAAAATTATTTTTCAATTACAGTTTACATTCAATATTATTTTGTATTAGATTCAGGTGTACAGTATAGTGGTTAGACAGTCATATACTTTACAAGTGTTCCCCCCAATAGTTCCAGTACCCACCTGGCACCATACATAGTTATTACAATATTAATGACTATATTCCCTATGCTGTATTTTACATCCTATAACTATTTTGTGGCTACTAATTTGTCCTTCTTAATCCCTTCACCATTTTTACTCAGTCCCCAAACCCTCCTCTGCTCTGGCCACCATCAGTCTGCTCTCTGTACCTATGAGTTTGTTTACATTTTGTTTTATTTTGTTCTTTACTATTTGTCTTCTTCTTACAGACTTTTTCAATTATCATAATACCCTCTAGGTTCATCCATGTTGTCCCAAATGGTAAGATTTTATTCTTTTTTATGACTGAGTAATATTCCATTGTATATATGTCCCACAGCTTTTTTATCCACTCGTCTACTGATGGGCACTTGGCCTGCTTCCAAATCTTGGCTGTTGTGAATAAAGCTGCGATGAACACAGGGGCTCATATATTGTTTTGATTTAGTGTTTCGGGTTCCTTAGGATATATACCCAGAAGTGGAATCACTGGGTCATAAGGCAGGTTCATTTTTAAATTTTTGAGGAAACTCTATACTGCTTTCCACAGTGGCTGCACCAGTCTGCACTCCCACCAGCAGTGCATGAGGGTGCCCTTCTCCACACCCTCGCCAGCACTTGATGTTTGTTGATTTATTGGTAAAAGCCATTCTGAAAGGTGTGAGGTAGTATCTCATTGCGGTTTTATAGTTACCCCAATATATTAATTCATAGTTACTCCATTCATGGCATCTACATTTGCCTAATAAAGAGTTATTTTATAGTTGGATTGGGACAGCTTTTTGCTTATCTCCAGAGATGCTTGAGAATCAATTTTTGCCTCTTGGTCATGGTAAGGACAGTGAACTAACTAACTCACTAACTCACTAACTAACAACTAACTAACTAACTAACTAACTAACTAACTAACTAACTATGGTAAGTTGTATGTTTTTTAAAGTTCAAACGTCTTGAGTGGAACCTAGGGCCAATCTATTGACAGCTTACAGTGGAGATAATTGGTTAGACATCCTGTCTCCATTATACGATCAGACTCTGCAGGAAACTTCTGCCTCAGTTCTCCTGAAACCAAATTTCATCAAATAAATATCAGAACAAATATCAGCAGTTTTTTCCAGAGAAAAGTTATATCATTGTATAAATAAGAACATTGGGAAGTTTGTTCCTGGATGTTTCTTGGGCTCCAACTCATGTGAACCTCTTCCTCCTGCTCTATCAGACTTTTTGCCTTTATTAAAAGCATTAAATGAGCATGTTCATGGGAGCCTTATCATTTCTTTAAATTAAATAAGCCTGGAGATATTTGGAACATTCAACCCCACCCTCCCTTTACATTTCCGTAATTTTGGAGCTTTTGAATCTTTTCTCTTTACATCCTCGTGCATGGGTTGCAAAGCATCCTATAAAGAAGTGGATAGTAAATGTTTTAACTTTGTGGGTCAGTCTCTGTTGAAACTGCTACTCTGCCATTGTAGAGCAAAAGAAGACAGATAATATGTAAATGAATGGTTTAACTGAGTTATAAGGGAAACTTATTTAGAAAAAGTAAACGGTAGGACAAATTTGCTCCTCAAGCCATAGTTTGCCAACCCCGGTCAAAGTGGATAAAGTGGCATCGTAGAGGCACCAACCCTACTAAGTTGCTTTATTCTTTTTAGGTCACATAATAAGAGTTGTAAATATACTTATACATTTCACAGTACTAAAAGAGTTGTGTCCTGTATTATCAGTCTCTGTTTATTATAAAGATGAAAATCCATAAAGCATGTGCTATAGCCAAATTCAAGATGTTCACCAATGACCCCCACTTTCAAGTTCACATACCTTTGTTCAATTTCCTTCCACAGTGTCTCAGGGTGGACCTGTGTGACCAGTGAAATAGAGTGGAAATGACAGTATGCCCCTTCTAACTCTAGTTCATAAAAGATGGTGTGATTTCTTCTTCTCTTTTCTCTTTCAGGTCACTTGACAAGGGAAAGCCAGGCATCATACCATGAGCAGCCCTGTTGACAGGACCATGTGGCAAGGAGCTGAAGACTCTTATGAACAACTGGCAATGAGGTTTTGTTGAGTTGTATACTTGAAACCTGTATGGTTTTGCAAACCAATGTCACCCCAATAAATTCAATAAAAAGAAGTAGTCTATTTCTTTTTTTTCCAAATGTATCTTTATTGACTTCAGAGAGAGGAAGGGAAAGGGGGAGAGAGAGACAGAAACATCAACGATGAGAGAATCATTGATTGGCTGCAGCCAGCAACCCGGGCATGTGCCCTGACCAGGAATCGAACCCCTGTCGCCTGGATCCTAGGTCAACGCTCAACCGCTGAGCCACACCCGGCTGGGGGAAGTAGTCTGTTTCTAACAGCTATGTAATAAGCCTCTCTTGCAAGTCAACTTTCTAGCCCTAGTCAAGCCTTCAATAACAGAGCCCTAGTTGACAACCTGACAGCAACCTAATGAGATAACCTGAGTCACATCCATCCTAAGTTTTTCAAGGATTCCTAACCTTCAGAAACTGTGTGATATAATAAGTGTTTATTCTTTTAAGCTGCTATTTGTTGGACTTAGTGGTAGACTCATTCATAAAGACCTATCTTAAGAAAAAAAGGAAACAACAAAAACATTTATTGAAAGAAGTCAACAATTTCCCAAGTTCATCCTCCTAGAAGTTCCATGCTTCAAATATTTCCTTTATATAATATATTACCATCCGTTTTGTTTTCAGTAAAGTTGACGACCCCACTCCAGTATCTAAATTGGGCCCCAACCGATTTACATCGATCAGTGTGTCTTATTTACCAGCTGCAGTAATTTACATCTAGCCTAGTCATTGTCAATAAGATGAAGATAAGTCCGTGGATGACTCTTACAAGAACTTGAAGAAAATAAGCTAGACACAAAAGAGTTTGCATTGCATTGTTCTTGTTATATAAAACTCAAAACTAGGGAAAATTAAACTATAGTTCCCATAGACATCAAGATAATGTGAGAGGTAAAGATGGTGGTAAAATATGGAAAGAGAAAGAAGATGGTAATTGGAAGTTTAAATAAGCAAAGATCCTGGTGATCCTGGAAATTTTCTGTTTCTTGACATGGGTGGTAGTTGCATGGGTTTTAAATCTGATGGTTATTAAACTTTATGTTTTTATTACTTTTGACTATGTAAGTTATATTTTATTCCAAAGGGTGAGAAGAAAATATTTGTTGATTTTTTTCTGTCTTAAATAGGTTTTGATATGAGGCAGGTCTGTTATCCATTTCTCATTTTACAGCAACCACAGTTCTATATTTCCAAGCCATGTTTATCTTACACAATCTTGCTCAAACTTTAATTTTAATATGAGTCCTTCATTTCTTTCTGAAGTTGTATCTCTCTGCTCTGTGACTTTGGTCTGTTCCAGAGTACACTGGGGTAGATTCAAGTATTATCTCCTTTCTAATGATGCAAAAATTTTAATAAGAGAGCTGGGACACTGTGATTGTCAGAATCTCAGTGTTTCACTTACAGAGGAGAGACAAATCAATATTTTCTCAAACCAAGTATCACAATGTTGCCTTTGGGGGATATTGAAAAATACTTCAAAATTAAGCTGAACACTTTTAATTTGATTGACATTGAATGGACTTTTGAACAAATTATCTGGACTTTTGAGTAAATTACTTTTACTCTAAAATACTCATTATAAAACTGACATAAGTGCCTTAAGAAATTATATGAATGGCACAAAATTATTTTTGGAAAAAGGTTATAAAACACTCAAGGAAATTTATAATAAATAAAATAAGTCATTATTAAACATTAAGCTATAGATACCTGTGTTTCTGTGAAAATGAAATGGTCTAAATCATAAATAAAAT